AAAAAAAAAAAAAAGAGTGTTGGAGAAATAATACAAGAGTTGGAGAAAGGCGCAAATTACTCTCCGATTCGCTCTCACGCTCTTAGCTAAAAGTGAGAAAACTTTTTTCCTATTTAATTGCACACATAAAAGTTTTGAATGTTTCTTCTTTATGTTTGTTTTACTTGTGGCGTGAAGTAAACAGTACGAAATGAGTTTCTCACGAGGATTTTAATCGGCAAACATTGGTTGTAATCCTTATTTCTAGGATATCGATGCCGCGCGAAGCGAAACGAACTTCTGGAATTAGGAATCTCTCGAATCGACAGAACTAATTAACAACGCGAGTCTTTTGTAAAGTGGCGTGTGGAAGTTTATCATCGGCGATCGGCGCTGAAGCGAAACGAGTACGAACGAGCGAAACGTTCGCATTCGACGTCGCGAATCCGTCCCACGAAATCTTAGAAATCGCGTGAGGGAACGCAGACGATCTCTGGTGATTCGCAGCGGGTTAAAGTAGAGAGGCTTCCCCCACGTTCGGTCGAACAATTAAAGCTTAAAGCATCGTTTGAAGTGAATCGCAAATGCCACGAGGCTCGCTCTCATCCGCTACGCAACGCTCCGGCAAATTGCACCGTTTATTCGAGAAATTAATATCTTTGTGCAAGCGCAACAGCACTTTTGTCTCACTACGAGGCATCAATCTACCTTGCCCGGTTTCTCACTTATCGCATGTCTGCCTCGATGTGCATCTATGGTTATTTTCATCTGCATACTTCGTCTGTCTGTTTGTCTTCGTTCGCGAAAGAACTTGGTTCTCATTGCTTCTTATTACTTCGTCGTATCGATCGACGTGCAAAAGATTTTGTTCGATTGGATCGATCGTGTCGCGAGGAAAGAGTAACACAACACAGCGAGGAGAGAACAGACAGAGAAGAAAAATTGAGATATCACTGGCGGATCCAAATTGTGTGCAACACATGAGTTAATGATAACGGCCGATAGGACCAGTAAAACGCGTGCTCCGAATACATTACGAGTCGAGAGATAAGCGTTCGTTATTATTTGACTATTACACCACGTATCGTACGGACGGTATGTCAGTATGAAAGAGTGTGTATGTGGCCAGTAGGCGAGAAGCGTGTTCCTCTTCTCCTCTCGGCTCTTTCTTCTCTTATTTTTCTTTCTTTCTTCCTTTCGATGCTCGTAATTCACTTACACGCGTCGCAACTACTTACGTGCATGATCGGTAACAATGAACAGAGGGAGAGACTGCTTTTTCTCACTAACTGTGTGTTCTTCGTAGTGTGCTCGTTTGAAGAAGAGAAAGACCAAGGTACGGTGATCGAATGAAGATACAGTGTACATCTGAAAACGAGACTCATTGGAGAAATTTTCTCTCGTTAATCAGCAAAATGATGACGTTCGTTATATGAAAAAGAAAGAAGAAAAAAGAAAGAAATTGTCGCGTGTATTGTGCGATGGGTTAAACGATGCGAGCATATTTTTTTTTCTTCTTCTCCTTTTTTTTTTTTTTTTTTTTTTTTTTTTTAGAGAGGATGACAATTGCCGAAAGTCGAAATCTCGTCGGATTCTGTAGTTCGAATTTTCGAAAAACTGAGTGTTTGAGAATTTTATTCTTCTTTTCAAGCCTCGTGTCAGGGTAACTGAATTTATTTGACCAATTCGAGGAACACTTCTTGCCACGTTTACGACAGAAGAGTAATAATCGCCGCTGGATTGGCTCCGTGCAGATGCGGTAAGAATAATTTTACAATTATACCGGACTCCAAGGCACGATATTCGTGGACATAACGGGAAATAATGGGATGAAATAATCGCCTCTCTAAGAGCTATAAGCTAGTTGAGCATGCTCGCAAGAAGGTATCCTTGAACCGCGGATATTCGTGCCACTATTCTTCAAATGAACTTTTGGCATATTAGCAGTTGGAAAAAATTATCGTGTTAGCCAGAGGAAATTGCAATAAACTATCACAAAGAGGGATCTAGGCAGCCAACAATGCAGAAAGTATTTCACTTTCATATCCCCTGCTTCTCTACTCGTTCGAAAATCACGATATCAGTAATTCGGTTAGTGTTTACACAACTGATGCGTTTCTATGGCTTCTGCAAACGTTTGTTTGTTCAGGTCCGCACGTATTTAGAGAGACGGAAGCTTCTTTAAGCTTCGTTTGATTTTCATGCGCTGTCCAACTCCGAAGAGTTTATACCAACGAACCAACGTTCGCTCGACGGATTCGACTTCGTTACAATTTCTGTTGATTTAGGTTTTCAGTCTTCTAATTTC